GAGATGGTAAGATAAGAAAAGTCATGTTCTGGCATCACATCATTGTCTAGAAGCATTGGGAAGTGCTGGCCACAGTAGTGGATGAGAATCTGTGGTTGCTTTAATGTTGCCTTAGAAACAGATTAATTTCTTAGCTTTGAGGCTTTCAGTCAGCAAGAATTACATAGAAGGGAATTCCAGGTCCGGAGGAAGGACAGTCAAGGAGTTTCTTGGAATCACCCCAGCTGCCAATCAATAGAATGAGGTTAGGCCGCCGGGTACACAGGACTGGTGGGAGTGCCAGAGGTATTCCTTCTCTCTGAGGCACGTTCTCCTTGGGAGCGTCTTGCAGGGAACCCACTGCCCTGCTGCCTCACTCCTCCTCAGGCCTCTGCCGTGGGTTTCTCTCCTTCCCTCTTGACACAGGCAGTTGGGTAAAGAGCTGTCTGCAGGTGCGTGTTCCCGTCCCTAGGAGCTCTCCCTTCAACATAGGCTGTTAGTCTTACTCAATTGGGTATCTTATCTCCATCCTTTGTCAGTGCCATTTAGTTCTCTAATTTGTTGGGGTTGTTTGGTTTGTTTTAAAACCAATAGCGAGCAGAAGATAATTTGGGGATCCTTGGTACTGCGCTGAAGACTCATTTGGATGATGTCATGGATAGTCCTAAGCAAGAACGGGCCATAGATGTAAGAGTTGATCCGAAACCACCATGAAAATCAGCCTTGTTTACAGAGTTCAGTAGATTGGGGCAGAATATAAGAAAGCCAAGCAACAGACCCAACATGTCCACAGCCTCCAGTTCCTGTTTAATTTTCATGGAAATGTATATTTGAGGGGACAATGAGAAAGGGTCAGGTAGATCTGCTTGACTCTGATGACAAACCAAGGGCCCTGGAAGATTGCAGAGAAAAGAACCGAGAAGGAACTCTCACTTAGAAAACACCTATCCCACGTCCTCATAAGCATGTGGATGTGGTATTAACTTAATAAAGAAAGAAGCTGTAGCTCAGCTAGTTCTCTCCAATTGCTTTATTGCCAGTAAGCTATAGCCGTGATTTGTGTCCACTGATTTCACAAATTATAACACTGGCACCTTTCAAATATAATCGTGATGTTTTTGAGTTAGCTGCAGAAGCCTCCTTCTTTTTTTCTCTGGTGCTGTGATGGATTTTTATTGCTTCATCCACCCTTGATGTCTGGTACTCTTTTGGCTAAAAATGTATTGTGAGCTATGAGTGGGGGCAGGGCTTTTTTCTTAGCTGACTGAAGAGATTGCCCTGAGCGTGCTTGCAGGTAAAGGTTGCCAGGTAATTCACTCCCTGAAAGGCCAGAGAGTGAAGGGCATCTGTCTCTAGGAAGATAACAGCCCACATGTTACATCACGGCTATCAATATTTGTCTGTTTGTCTCTAATCCATAGGATAAAAGCCAGGCTGTTGGAAACCTTCCATGGGACTTTTGCCACCTAGGCCCTCCTAACCCTCCATGGAAAGCAAGAGGTTTTGCAGGGGGCTAGTCCAAGCCCAAGTTCACTAGTTCTCAAAGATGACTTCACACACTATCAGGGATGGTATGAGGGAGCAGTTAGTTGCATCAGTCTCAGAGACAGACCAGGGTTTGGATCCCAGTTCAGAGGTTATGATCTGCGTGACTTTCTTAACCTGTCTGAGCCTCAGTTATCCCACCTCCAAAATGGGCTAATAATATCTGCTGCAAAGGATTGTTGTTAGAGCACTGTCCACTGCCCAACTTCAGGGGGTGCTAGTCACACAGACTGTAATGGAAATGACATCCCAAGGAGTTGTATGACACAGCAATGCTGGTTATTGTAAGTATTGCGTATAACGATACATGTAAAGAACTTCAGGTGTTGGGGATAGTGTTTAGAACCCAGTGTTATTCTCTTAGGCAATCGACTATGATTTGCTGTTGTGCCGTTTTGAAACTTGCTTCTAAGAAAGAGAGTAGTTTGGGGCACAGAAAGCACCATATGCAAAGACCTGGAGGTAAGAAAGTGTCCCTATGTTCAGGGAATGGAAAGACTGCCCCTGTTCTGGAACTCAGAGGCCAGATCTTAAAAGGTCTGCACCGCCCATCGAGGGGCTTGGGTTTGTCTTCAGGGCACTAGGTAACCCTGAAGAGGGGTGAGAGAGTCACACATGCGCTTTAGGGAGTTCGTTTGGGCTGAAATGTGAAGGGAGGAATGGTGAGATTTGGCAGCAGTTTGAAGGGAGTGGTCAATCCTATCAGCCTTAGAGACAGGCGCAGGTTTGAACCTCTGGTCAGTGTTTACTGTCTATTCTGTACTGCTCTCCGTGAGCAAACACTTACCCGTTCTGGCTCTTACAGGCTCCCAAGACATTTTGTGTTGCAAATCTTCCAAAAGGGTTACCACAGAGGTGTCTCTGTCCTTTTTAAACTTTAGGTCTCTGCTGTATCGTTTTTATACCTGCCAGGCATTGGGATCATTTGTAAATCAGATCTTTTGATAATGGACAAAATCTGGTCTTTCTGTTTCCACCCGTGCCCCACAGTCTCTTCTGCACTGAACCAGCAGAGAGAGGTCCTTTTCAAAAGGAACATCAGCTCATCATGCATCTGATCAGAACCTCTCTATGATCCCCATAGCCCTCACAGTCGGTCAGGGTCTAACCATGCCCTCTGCCCCTCTGGACCCATTCACACTGTGTTCCCAGCTCCCGAAACCTGCTCCCCTTGCTCTTGGCTCTCTTGTTACACTGGTTTCTCGGTGGTTCCTCGATGATGCAAAGCACAACTCCCATCCAGGTCTTGGCACTCACTTCCTGCAGATATCCATCCCCAAGGCCTGATCTCTTGCTTCCCTCAGGACTTTGCTCAAATGTCCCCTTATCGGAGAGGCTTTCCTTGGCCATCCAGTATGAATCATGCGTGTCGCGTGTGTGCAGACACACATACACACGCTCACACACACGACTCCTTTTCCTACTTATATTGCTTCCCCCTCCACTACAGCACGTTTTTCCCGTCTGACATTTATATTTATGGGATTTGTGTGTTTCCTTCCCATTTGAATGTAAGGTCTGTGAGGACAGAGACTTTTGTCGTTGTTGTCATTCATTGGTGAAATCTCAGGACCTAGAGCAGAGCCTAGCAGGTCATTCTGAAATAGGTATGAGGTGACACTCATAAGTATTTGTGGAATAAATGGGTGCATCAGGGAGTTAGAATTAGACTTTCCACTGCTCTTTCAGGCTGCTTCAGTGTCATCTTGTTTCAAGCAGAGATCACTATTCAGTGACTAAACAAGCAGACATGAACTTTTGCATAGTCCGAAAATACGCTTCTATTTTTCGGCCTTTTACTTAGGATGGAATTCTCCTACCACAACCCTCTGCTGTGTCTTCTTTATGGGAATAGTGTTAAAGCTTCTTTTCTAATAGTGATGAGCTATAAAGGGCTGTAGGCAATGGCAGTTTCTCTGGGTCTGGCCTAGTATGCTAGGCCAGGAGGGTTCTCCTAGGCCTTGGTGAAGTTTCCTGAATAAGTCATTAGCAGCAAACATGCGCCAGAGAATATACGTGAATGAGGGCGGGACCCTTAGTCAGCCTGAGGCTACAAAAGGCTCTAATCTAGCTCCACTTTTAACTTGTTATCGGGCCACAAGGCTGTGTTCTGACTCAGGACGCCATCCTATCACCACTTTGTCCAATGTCATAACTGGCCTTCCAGACCAGAGTCCCCCTGATGTGGAGCAGATCCTCCGCTACCTTAGCACCTCTCCGAGCCCTAGGGGCAGAGGGGATGTGTGGTCCAAGCTGAGTCTTGCCTAAGCTGCTGTGGGAATTTAGGGCCATGGTGGCTCAGTCCACCACTTTGCTTTGCTTCCCAAACTTGGTGATGCTCGGTAACTCTGTTGCCATAACCCTCATTGCCTACAGCTGTTCATCATGTGTCACTTTGTGGTCCCTGTTATTCTGCCACATGAGCTTATTTAAATGGAATTATCGCTCCTGCATTTTTGGGTCACTTGAACCTTCTGTAAGACTAAGATGTGTTTCAGAATGACCATGGAAAGTATGACCTTAGCACAGAGAAGGAACGTTTTATGGCTGGTAACACTGATTTCACAGCCTGCCAGGCAAGAGCCTTACACACAGCCACACTCGGGCCTGGTTATCCCCCTTCCTGCGGTGGACAGCCTGCAGGTTCCCGAGCGAGATCTGGACACAGATGTGAAGAGCTGTGCTTGAAGAACCAGATGCCCAGCAGCTAGTTAAGAAGGAGACCTGGGCTTTCTGAAAATTAGGGCGAGATGTGCTCTCATCAAACATGCTTTTAAAATCCATACTAAAGGTGTGGAACTATTGCGTTATAGTAGATTCCACCCCCGCCCCCCCTCAAGTACAAATACCATTGAGCTTTGATTACAGGCAAGTGTGAAGATTTTTCTGTATTTCCAAGTAGGTTTGGAGCAAGACATGATTTCATGAAATGTCATGTAAGGTGTGCTCCGGAATTTAAGATCATCACCACGCCCTGTGTTGGTAGGATTTTGAAAGTCTGAACTTCAAAGCATCAATCATAATAAGGTGATTTTTGTCAGTGAAATAGTTTCTAGAAGGTGATTGTACTAATCAAAATTTAAAGGAAAATCTGCTTTAGCAACGTGGAGAACATTATTTCATGCTTGAAAACTTTTTTATTTTTTTCTTATTGGCTGTTAGCATGCATAAATGTGCATGCAACAAGGCAAGGCTTGTTGAACTATTCGTTTCCAATAAGTCAGTTGTGCACATTGCTCAATGGATGGAAACTATGTGTAGAAAATCCACCAGCAGAGATTAAGTTGTAAACTTTACAAAGGATTACTTAGTCACTGATGGATTCTTAGAATAATGATTCACCGTAGATGTTGTGATAGTCAAATATCAACAAACCATTGGGAAAATTAATAAAAATAATTAGTCATGTTTGGATCTGGCTCTAATGATGTGATTTTCTTTTCGCCCCCACCCAACCCCCATCTGATTTTTGCCAGTAGGCTGGGACAGTTGGAAATCTGCCATTGTACAACATGCTGCGAGTAAGTCTCTCACCCACCTTTTCGCCGGGATTTCATCTGTTAGCCTTCGTGGCTCTCTTATTTTCCCACGTGGACCATATACGCGCTGAGACCGAAATGGAAGGAGAAGGCAATGAAACTGGCGAGTGTACCGGCTCATATTACTGTAAGAAAGGGGTGATTTTACCCATTTGGGAGCCCCAAGACCCTTCCTTTGGAGACAAAATTGCTAGAGCTACTGTGTATTTTGTGGCCATGGTCTACATGTTTCTCGGAGTTTCAATCATTGCTGACCGGTTCATGTCCTCTATAGAAGTCATCACGTCTCAAGAAAAAGAAATAACCATAAAGAAACCCAATGGAGAGACCACCAAGACAACTGTGAGGATCTGGAATGAGACGGTTTCCAACCTGACCTTGATGGCCCTGGGATCTTCTGCTCCAGAGATCCTCCTTTCGGTCATTGAAGTGTGCGGCCATAACTTCCATGCAGGAGACCTCGGTCCTAGCACCATCGTGGGAAGTGCCGCCTTCAATATGTTCATCATCATTGCCCTTTGCGTTTACGTGGTCCCAGATGGAGAGACAAGGAAGATCAAGCATTTGCGTGTGTTCTTTGTGACGGCAGCCTGGAGCATCTTTGCCTATACCTGGCTTTACATCATTTTGTCTGTCATCTCTCCTGGGGTCGTGGAGGTCTGGGAAGGTTTGCTTACGTTCTTCTTTTTTCCCATCTGTGTTGTGTTCGCTTGGGTAGCAGATAGAAGGCTTCTGTTCTACAAGTATGTCTACAAGAGGTATCGGGCTGGCAAGCAGAGGGGGATGATTATCGAACATGAAGGAGACAGGCCATCTTCCAAGACTGAAATTGAAATGGATGGCAAAGTGGTCAATTCCCATGTTGACAATTTCTTAGATGGAGCCCTGGTTCTGGAGGTCGATGAGCGGGACCAGGACGATGAAGAGGCAAGGCGAGAAATGGCTAGGATTCTGAAGGAACTCAAGCAGAAGCATCCGGAGAAAGAAATAGAACAATTGATAGAATTAGCGAACTACCAAGTCCTAAGTCAGCAGCAAAAGAGTCGCGCATTTTACCGCATTCAAGCAACTCGCCTGATGACCGGAGCTGGCAACATCTTAAAGAGGCACGCAGCTGACCAAGCAAGGAAGGCTGTCAGCATGCACGAGGTGAACCCTGAAGTGGCTGAAAATGACCCTGTTAGTAAGATCTTCTTTGAACAAGGGACATACCAGTGTCTGGAGAACTGTGGTACGGTAGCCCTGACCATTATCCGCAGGGGTGGGGATCTGACCAACACTGTGTTTGTCGACTTCCGAACCGAGGATGGCACGGCCAATGCTGGGTCTGATTATGAATTCACTGAAGGAACTGTGGTCTTTAAGCCTGGTGAGACCCAGAAGGAGATCAGAGTTGGCATCATCGATGATGATATCTTTGAGGAGGATGAAAATTTCCTCGTGCATCTCAGCAATGTCAAAGTATCTTCTGAAGCGTCAGAAGATGGCATCCTGGAAGCCAATCATGTGTCCACACTCGCTTGCCTTGGATCTCCCTCCACTGCCACTGTGACTATTTTTGATGATGACCACGCAGGCATCTTTACTTTTGAGGAATCCGTGACTCATGTGAGTGAGAGCATTGGCATCATGGAGGTGAAAGTGTTGAGAACATCCGGAGCCCGAGGAAATGTTATCGTTCCCTATAAAACCGTTGAAGGGACTGCCAGAGGTGGAGGCGAGGACTTTGAGGACACCTGTGGAGAGCTCGAGTTCCAGAACGATGAAATTGTGTAAGTTCTTTTTTTTTAATACACATGTGTGGTTGAGTGTTTGTAGATGTGAAAGCATGTGCATTTCTTTAAACTGCATGGCATACAAGGAGTGGGATAGTTACTAAACAATATAGCTTTCACATCTCAGTCCTCACTGGTGTACCTTCCGTATGCTCTATGCACAGAGATCTTAATTTGATTGTATGTTTACTTTTGTACTTTTACGTATTTTAAGTACCTGATAGATCATGATAGAATAAGTCTTGAGACAGAATTTATCAGACCACTTACAATGGGTTGAAGAATTTGTATTTATTTTGAATCATATAATGTACACACAGAAAGGAATATTTAAAACATTACATCAAGTCCCTAAGTTCATTACTGAGTACAAATTGGGAACACCAAGAAAGGAAACACCTCTGAAAAGAATTTCCTGGTTACCAGGGCTGGCTGAAACAATTTCTGCTGCTGTTTTCTGACACTGTGTTTTTGTGACCATAAAGGATGATGTTTCTGCTTAAATGATAATGCTTAATTATGACTTAATGACCAACTCTGCTTTTTCAGTTTTATGCCAACATGGGAAAAGTCATATAGCTCTTACTTAGTTCCAGTTTGATTTTACTTTACATGATTAAACAAACCCTTTAGCCTACTGATACAGTGATGGGGGGAGAAGTAAGATTCTGTCCAAGCATCCTAATTGACAGGTCAGAGAAAAGAAGTGGGGAACAGTTTATCTTCCTGTTGCCACTTCACAGTGACAATTGCCAATGCTGTAACATGGAGTGCCTGGTCGTGTACTGATTCTTCCAACAACAGCTGCTATTTAGAGAGCTATTCCTCCTTCGTTGCCTAGGAAGGGACATTGCACTCACCGAAAGCAAACCAGAAAATTTGACTCAATGAACAATGTCCAAACTGCAAAGAAGGAAGGAAACTGTAATATCTGCAATGCAACAGAGGACAATAAAATCAATGAGGATGTTGGTAGAATCATTGGCAACTTAGGAATTTCAGGAAAAAGTATAAAGTATAGTGTGTTCTAAAAATGGTTAACTCTTGTGTAAATGGCATGAGATCTGTCAAATGGCAAGTACATTCTCTCCAAGGTGAAATTTCTCCTACTGAAAGTGTAGGGAAAACAACCGCGGAGTGGGAAGAGGGAACAGATTTCCCTGAAAGGCCAATGTCTTTACATCTTTTTGATGTTGTATTGTAGAGATGAATAATTACTGAGTGTGATATCACAATGAAATCAAGCAAAATAGAGATGATAATATCCATCTTTGGGTGTGTGTGTGTGGAGGGGGGGTAGCTTTTGATGAATATTTACTTTATGTTGTTACTGTTTCACTTATTGAAATGTGTTTTTTTTGGGATATGTATTTGACTAAAAGATAGTAATATAGTAGCAAATGAATATCTTGAATACCCCAGGAAGGATTTTCCCAAAGGCCTTACATCAAATGTGACCCTGCCCACCTTGGCGTATGACCTTTATTCTTTCACTAGGAATTCTTTCTCATATTTTCTTATCATTTCAGTTATTGAACTGTCTTGTGTTCGATGGCACTTGTAACCCATGTAAAAATGTACTGCATGTTATTAAAGAAGTATTGCGTGTTAGCAAATGAACTCTCAAGGTTAGTTAGCCCCTAAATATCACCAAATTGGTGTTTTGTTTTGTTTTGTTTATTCATTTTACTTAGGATGTTTTTCTCTTGACAATTTGGGCTTGCTTTCTCTTAATAATTGTTCTGTACTTGTTTATTTGAGAGGCTTTGTATATCTATTCTGCTGTCCAGGACTTTTACCAAACCATAAATAAATAACCTTCTTTTGGGCACAATGAAGAAGAAGCTGCAGCAGGAAGGAAGACTGAGTGATTTGACAGAATGATTTATTCTGCCAAGCTCCATTTGAAACATTTACCCTATGCCATTACATTGATTCAATTCTTGCTAAAGAAGGAATATTGCCAAATTCCAGCTTTAGAAATTTATGTATCCTGTGAAAAGTGATAAGAATTGGTGGAATTATCAGGATGGCATCTCTGTATATGTATTGTTAGATGTATTCTAGATCAATCACCAGTTCCTAGTTTTAAAAACTTACCGAATTTTATTCTCTAAGTTGAAATATGAAATTTTAGAAATGGCAAATCATTTTATTTATAAGTAGAATAAAATCATAGCCCTATATATTTTTTCTTTTTAGAATTTTAATTTTAAAGAGTTTTCATCTTGACATTAGAGGATTTCACTGCTGATGAGCTTTGCAGATACTTAATAGTTCTCTTGCTTGTATAAATTTGTTTGGGTGAGTAGGACTTAACTTAGCCTTAAGCTAGGCACCCAGGATTCAAACATAACGTGTCTAGAAAAACGTATTATCAAAGATCTCTTATTCTGTTTTTCTGTGGATCGTTTTTCCTCTGGTAGTTGTTTCTAATATGAGGTCTACAGTCAGATCGAAGTGACAGTTTTGTCATCATACAGGGAAGTTGAACTATGTATAGTCAACCCAGTTTATCTTTAAGAATGAATTTTTATCTCGCCCAATTACACAGTTAATATCAAGAGGTTACTTTCTTAAAAACCTACAATACATAGATGGGACTGTTGACACCACTGAGCTCTATTAAGTACTTTAAAAAATCTTTTTTTGTTTGTTTAATGCTGTGCACAAAGCCAGAATTTATGATTCTTTCCAGAGTACCATAAAGAGACTCATGGAAAAGCCTGGATTTAAAGGCTGTCTAATTTTAAGAAGCCATTAACCAAGGTAGAAATAGGGTCCAATCTGGTTAGGGGTGGAGATCAAGAGGCAGTCAGCTTTATTGATTTTTTGGTTTTAAGAACAAGATAGATTCCTAATCTTTGATCTTATTTTAGAGTAGGAGAAGTCATTTAAATCTATAAGTATGCCTGTGCTTACTCATTTATATTTGTACAGAAATGAGTTGAATTATTTCAATTTGACCTTTTTTAAGATCAAAATTTATATTTGAGAAAAATACTGATAAGTGAGAAGTGGTGCTTGTAGTCTCTAATAAAATGTATTCTTGGCAAAACATTTTAAAATTGTAATGGAAAAACCCATTAAATGGGTATAATTAATAGCACATGCATTTGTGTAAACTCACTCAATGACAAATACCAAACCCATGCCAGCTAACCTTGACTTTCAACAGGGAATTCTGTCTAATGTTAACATCTAATAAAAAACAAATGAATAATATGCTAATTTGATTTGTGGTTTGGTAGGTGATATCCACAGTGTTGAAGTACTACTAATGGTTGTTCTTTAATAATGCTGGTTTAGTGGTAATAATTATTACAACATGTTGTTTGGTCTTCCAAGGTCTAACATTAGCTTGACTGTTCTGGAAAATGTTAAGGTTAATTAACTAATATAGATACAAATCAAATTTAATTATAGTACTTTGTTGTAGCTCAGCACTAATATCATTTTTGGAGACAACTCAAAAGATCATGAGCATTTACTATTATATATTTACAATGTAGAGTTGCAAAACAAAGTATGTAGGTTGGAAAATTTATATAATATATTGCTTAGCAAATCAGTTTACTGGGGGTTCTTAGCCACAGAATAAGTTATTAACAATGAACCTGTCCAAAATTAATATTGTTTTAACAACTCTTACATTTTCACTTATGGTTATAACTTTATTAACTAGGAAATACAATATGCAAGACATCTCAACAAACATAGCTATTTGACACTAAGTATTTACATCACTTTTTTGGGAAAAGAAATAAAATTTCATTATTATATAAGTTTTATGGAATTATTATATTCCAGGGAAAATAAATACATTGTTTTGCTATTTATGTTACCAATATTCTTTTGCTGTATAGAATTTCAAGAAATAGAGACCTAGCCAGAGGCAAGAGCAATTCAATTCTGAGAGTAGAACAAATACATATTCCAAGAAGGCAGCCTGTTGTAAAAAAAAAAAAAAAGATGAAACAAAAATATTAAGAAAACCTGAAGCAATCAGAAGAATAATGTGTGTTGGGGGAACCAGAAATGATAAAAATACTAGAGAAAACAACCTTAGACAGAAAGGCTATTAGCACATGCCACCCTTGAGTCCAATGTAGTGAAGATTTACTTTATGACAGAATAATTTTATCTGCTGTATTTATCATATTAATATGTAACCTATTTAATTAGAATTAAAATAAAATATTTTACATTTACATAAAGTTTTCCTAGGTAATATGCTAATGTAAGAAATTTAGGTGGAATAATTTTAGGATTTTAATGGCTTTGGTAGATTTTCTTTACAGCCTGGAATATTTATCCTTCTTGGAACCAAACCACACGTAGTATTATCTGCAAATTCAAATTGTAACTATAAGAAGTGTTTTTATAAACGCATATACTTTCATGAGTGCATAACTATTATAAAAATGAGACAGTATGAGCCAAATAAGAAACATTTACGATGTCGCATTTAGTACCGCCAGGAGCTTAAACTGAAAACCTGCACACCTGCATACCTGCACGAGGGTCGTTTACCATGTTAACCAGATTGCCATGCTTGCTGTTATAATCTCATTTTACCACTGCTAATTAGAGTTGGGGGTTGTAATATAGTTATGTAAAACTTTTTTATCTTAGCAAATGAGGAGGTTTCATAGTTTAGACACACTGAAGTGTTTGTTTACATTATAGATTACATTATAGAGTCATCATTCAGGGCCGTTACATAGGGGGCTAACTGCTTTACTGGTTCAGAGCTCGAGTAGAATTTATATATCAATCAATCTATACATATTTAATAAGCTCTGATTTGTGCCCAACACTGGGCTCATCATTATGAAGGAAACAGAAGAAATATATACTCCTTATAATCTAAAATGGGAGGTAGTGAGATAACTCATGTTTTGTTAAGTACCGACATCATTAGGAAGACATGGTGTGAGCTGTAGGAGCAGTCCTAATTTTGGACACAATATTTGCGTTTGCTTTTTAAGGACAGA